GTCCTTTGGCGAACTCGTCCGTCAGGTAGACCTCCAGGTAGTGCAGCTCATCAGAAATAGCCATGTCTTTCCGCGGGTTAAGGGCTCAAATAAAGCGAGGCCACGCTGAGCGACTCCCTGGACACGTGGCAGCCATTCGGCCAGCGGGCAGCTATTTGAACATGAGGTTGTAAAGCTGTCTGTCTGGTGGGGCAAAGCAGACAGAACAAGGGCTGCCTGTCCCTCTGCTGGCGGGTTTGCAACGACACATCCCAGACTCCCTTTCCCTGTGCGAGCCCTGAGACAGAATCGGAGCTGTCATAAAGAACCAGCTGCCAGTGCCCTCAGGAAGGCTCTGGAAACTGAGGCACAACAAACAGCATGAAAGTAGCGAAGACAGCCCTAACCGGTGTGGCTCAGTGGACAGAGCGTCGGCCTGCGGACCGAAAGGTCCCAGGTTCGGTTCCGGTCAAGGGCATGTAGCTTGGTTGCGGGCACATCCTCAGTGGGAGGTGTGCAGGAGGCGGCTGATCGATGTTTCTCTCTCGTTGATGTTTCTGACTCTCTATCCCTCTCCCTTCCTCTCTGTAAAAAATCAATAAAAATATATATTTTTAAAAAAATAAAAATAAAGTAGCAAAGTCACAGAAGCAGGGCCTCCAAAACTGAGATTTCTTTCTGTCACTTAGCACCTCTGCCTGGAGAGGGAGCACTTCTGCTGAAGACAGCGAAGATGACACAATCCAGGAAAACGCAGGAGCAAACCAAGGTGGCCTGACCAGGAAGGATGAAGCCCAGTGTGCCCCTCCCGCTCAAAGGATACAGAGTTCGTAGTAGCTCTTGGGCGACAGCATGGAGGTCCGCAGCTCCCCGAGCATGTTGGAGGCGTGTTTCAGCGCGTCCATGAGCTTGTTTTTGTCCTAGAGACAGGACAGAACTGATGAGAAGCGCGCCTTAAACCCTGACACGGTTAGGGGACTCCTTCACCGGTATTTGTTGCAGCACTTAAACAGCTAAGTCACACAGAACTCCAGCCTTCTCTCCACTGAACAGGAAAAGACCCAGAGTGGCAGCAGGTGCAGGGCTCAGCAAGCCTTACATGTCCTGGCAAAGCTCCAGCCCTAACCCCCCGCCACTGCGGCCCAAGCGGCGCGGACTCGGCTCCCCTGCGACCAGGATCAGGAAGCTGCTCGCCACTCCTGTGGGGCAGGACACTGTCCTGGCAATGGCGCGGCCACAGCTTCCAGACCCTCTGAGAAGCTGGAGGACAATCCCCTCGGACCCGGAAGCACGGTGCATACAGAGAGACAGAAGACAGCAGCTCCGCGCCCACCTGTGCTCCCTGCTCCACGACTTCTCTTTGTGCCAACTCGTTTGCGAGGAAAGCCACACGATGGGTAAAACTGGTAAAAGCCTGTCACTCAGCCTTAGAAACCATAGATGCCGTCAGAGATGGTTGTCAGCATCATCATCACAGCGACTTGTAACCAGCCCACATGGGCCCATTTCTTACATTTAATCCCGGATCCATAGTTTCTACGGATTATCCCCTGCCCTATCTAAAACTCCTTTTGGAATTGGAAAGTAAGTAAATAGGTGTAAGTATAATCCTTAAGCGAGTGTCTACAAAAAATACACCCAGAACAGAAGAAAAGCCCTCAAGGTAGCACACAGCGGAATAGCTCAGTGGCGAGCACGCGAGTCCCCCGCCGGCCACACCACCTGTGGGTGCGCGCAGACCGCGCCCCACCCGCCCGCTTACCAGGCATCTCTTCATCTGGAAGGACTGCACCTTGACAGCCTGCACAGCCTCATCCAGCAGCTTCTCCTGCTCGTCCTGCGGGGACTGCTGTGTCGTAGGCTGCAAAGCAAGAACCGCCTCCGTGAGTCTCACCGCACTCTCTTCTCGCAGCTCGGCTGTGCCTACAGCTTCACCGGGTCCCTTCCCCAGGCTGCCCCGGAGGCTCGGCCCGAGGAACACCCCAAACCCACCCCAGTGTCTGACGACTACTGCACAGAGCGCTGTGCCTGGTCGCGAGGTGAGCGCGACACTGAGGAGGAGGAGGCCCGTGTGCAGAGAACGTATTCTCTCTCCGGGACTGACTGAGCATCCCCCTAACAGGTGAGCCTCGAAGAAACCCGAGGGCCAGTTTATGCTGCCTCGGTTCTGCTGGCACGCTCTGAATCCACCCCAAACGCAGCTATCAAACAACCCCATTCGTATATATACACACACACACACACACATATATATTTATTGACGTTTCAGAGAGAGAGGGAGGGAGGGAGAAAGAGAAATATCAACATCTGTCAGCTGCCTCATGCGTGCCCCGTGCTGGGGACCGAGCCAGGGGCCTCTTGGTGCATGGACTGATGCTCAGCCACTGAGCCACGCCGGCCGGGCAACCAAGCCCAGGCTTGTGAAGGTTTCCGTTCTGCCCGCATCTCTGAAAGCATCTTCCTCTCTAGACTACTTTCCACCTGCACTTTGGTCTCTCCTTAGACCAAGGAAGCGGGTTATGGAACACTGACCCCTCAGCAGGACATAACGAGGACTGAACAGCTAGGAAGAAACTAGCTGGACTTAGTGCAGCAGGCAAGATACTCTCCAAGTGCCTCGCTCATCACTTCAAACACAGACCCAGTGATACGGACACACGCAGGGTGGGGCAGAAGTAGCTTACAGTTGTTGATATAAAAAGTAATATAGTAATTAATAGTAACACAAGAATAGCACTTGTGCTTTGCACACTCAGGACTGTAAACCTGCCTGCATGTCTAGGTAATCTGTGCCGTCAGCGAAAACCTGCTCCCAACATGAATTAGACCCGCCTGTCAAGCAGAATTAACCGCCATCCTCTCGCTGTTGCATAAACACTGTGTGTGCACCTCAACCACAACGGGGTCACGTTATAATTATAAGTGATGGTCATCTGTACATCCTTGGGCCCCAACACTGCCTGACACCTAATGGATGTTCATAAACGCCCAACGAGTGAATGGATGAGCTGGTATTAGAACGTTCAGAACCCTTAAGTTAACAGAAAACTACTAGAGAATCAACAGATGAGTGGATAAACAAGCTATGGTATACATAAACAACAGGATGCTATCCAATCGCACAAAGGAAAGCAGTATTGACTCGTGCTCTGGGAGTGAACCTAGAAACCCGTGCTAAGTGAAAGAAGCCGGACACAAGACCACATGTCGCATGATTCCGTTTGTATGAAACATCCAGGACAGGCAAATCGCCCCAGGAAAGATCGTAGGTGGTCACCAGGAGGGAGCGTGGGGAGTCGCGGCTTAAGGAGGACCCCAGGGTCTCCTCTGGGCAACAGATGTCTGGGGACTAGACCGAGGTGGGGGTTGTACAACATTGTGCTAAAATGCCACTGACCTGCTCACTTTTAAGAGGCTTATGTTACGTAAACTTCACCTTAATTTAAAAAACGGCTAAAGAAAAAATGGAAACGCTACAGAATCAAGATCAAATTGACACTGGCGAGTAGGCCCCTTTTAGCTCGAGACCCAAACCGACAGCACTCCCAGGCCCACACAGGTGTGAGGCGCAGAGAAAAGCCAAGGTCACTGTGAGCTCAGCAATCACAAAACTCCTCTCCGTTCCATCTCCCCTGCTATCAAACGGGGAGACCAGGAGCACGCACATCACTGCTACGAAGAAGGAAGGAAATGCACTTAGCACAAGCACTGCAGAGGTGCCACCGTATTACTATAGCCCCTGGACACAACCATCATCTCCACTCGTCCCAACGCCTCGGCTGTTGGCCAATCTCTCCGCTCACAGGCGGCAGGAACCTAACAACACAACCCAAGTCAACGGCAAAGTGAAAATGACCCACTCGCAAGTAGACAGAACACCACCACCTTCATGGAAGAGCAGCTGGAAACATACGGCACAAAACACAACTGAAGGAGGGCGAGCAGGGCCGACAGGGGGCGGAGCTCAGGAGGGAGACCATCACCTGCCTGCGCACTGTCCTTCCCAGGCTCCTTCCCAGCTCCCCAGGCGGCCTCGCCCCGGGACCCACCGCCCCGGGACCCACCGCCCCGGAACCCACCGCCCCAGGACCCAGCACAGGGCTGTGGCGCTGGCACAGCACCCGCGGCCCTCCATCCTCCACCCACCTGTCCCCCCTCCCCAGATCCCTAAGCTCCGTGAGGACAGTTCCAGCGCTGGGCACGGTCCTGATGTACAAGGCACACAAGGTGCTGGACGAACTGAACTGCATCCTAGAATTCCAGGATGGGAAGAGCCAACGAGGCCAACACTTGTTTTCTTTCTTTCTTTTCTTAAATCTTTTTATTGATTTGAGAGAGAGAAAGGAAGGGAAAGGGAGAGACAGCAACATCAGCGATGAGAATCATGGACCGGCTGCCTCCTGCAGGCCCCCCTCTGGGGATGGAGCTGCAACCTGGGCCTGTGCCCTGACCGGGAATGGAATCGTGACCTCCTGGTTCATAGGTGGATGCTCAACCCCTGAGCCACGCCCGTGGCCGGGCAACACTGGTTTTCAAATGCAAAAGTAAGGCTCAAAGACACTGAGTGACCTGCCCAAGGCAGACAGTGACCAGCCTGGCACTCGGGTTTTCTCTCCCAATAAAATGCAGGTGCACAGGACGGTGGGTCTGGCTCCCCGCTCCGGCCCGGTCCCCCGGCACAGAAACGGGGCGTATAGCAGGAGAGCCTCAATGAAGGGCTCCCGTTACCAAACACCGCGTCAGTCTATACACGTGGGGAAGCTGACAAACCCCAGTTCCATGTCTGCTCTGTTCGGACGGCCGCTCCCAGCTGTACCGTCTGGGAGAGGAGTCACACGGCCTCGCGGAGCAATACGCCACCCGACGGGTGTGAGTCCACATCGATGCTGCGCTCCGGCCCCCACGCGGGAAGGGCAGCCGCGTCCAGGGCCCGTCTGCACCCGGTGCACCCGAGGTCCTTCAAACGGACCTACGGCGGCCACACACACACATCCCGCAGCCGCTGCGGACTCGGAAATAAAATGCAAGTGACAACTCGCCCTCGTGGGAACCAGGCACCGGGCACACATTTTGGGGAAGTTCCCGTTTGTGCGGGGGGAGAATGCCGCTCCCAGCGAGGGGGACACGTGGATGTGGTCACTGGGGAGACCGGCGAGCCGCCAGGTGCCCAGGACCACGCGTCACTAGCGACCAGGTAGCGCGTCCTTCCAGGAAACGCACGTCAGCGAGTCCCTAGAAACCGCTGGCAGGCACCGCGCTCCGGGAGGCGACGAGGCCGGGCAAGGCCGGGGCACCGCTCCGGTCCCTCCCGTGGGCATTTCCT